ATGTAGGATTAGTCTTGGCAATATCAGAAAGAAATACACCCGCAACTTTTCCCGTTAAGACCACTTATTGGTACAATTGGCCCTGAACCGCTCTCGTTGAACCGGTAACCGCCATATCAGGTTATGGTTTCGTTCCGGTTCGGGTTCAATAGGAAGCGTTCGATTTCGGTTTCGCTTTTGTTCCGGGTCGGTCAAAAATTACGGTTTTGATCCGGTTTTCGGTTCGGGTTCGGTTCGACAGCCTGGTGTTTATACACTGTGACATCTCTGGTCGGCCGTACCGTATTGAAGACTTCAGGGACTCCCTGGGGGAAGCAGCCAAAGTTCTCAGAGATGTTGCTGCATGCGGATACCAAATGAACCATGTGCCAATGGTTGTCCTGGATTCCCTCGCTGCCAAGTACAAGCTGGTGAGTGCAAGAGAACTTCTGAAAGGCAAGCGCTGCCTCGTGATCGACCCGAACAAAACCGAGGTTCGGCTAAAACGTCATTGGGTCCCGTACATGTGGCTGACAACAACATTGAGGGCTGCTCTTGAACCCTACGGGAGAGTCTACTAAGTGTCAAGAGAGACCAGGCATGTAAAAGGATTTCAAGGCATACAACCTTCAAGGAGGCTGGTGAGGCTGAGCCTTAAAGGGGCCCTGCAATGACTTTTTGACTGGTTTTTAATTTGCACTGAACCTGAGCGTACAGAACGTAGTAACTTAATCAAAATTTTCTTTTCTCAAATTTCGCTTTATTTTAAAAGTTATAGGCAAATTAGAATTACAAAAACAAGCAAAAAATAACCTCCCTCATGACGTCGTAGGTCCTGGCTTGAGTGGCCGTGAACTAGAGGAGGAGTAGTGAGCTCATCGAGCGCTCACGGCTGCCGCACTCCGTGCCGACGGCTCGAGAGGGCGCCACTAAAGCACGTGTTGGATAGGCTGTATGAAGCGGGCGGCCAGGGCAGCTCGCATTGCATTTGCTGCGCGACTAAACACTAATATGGGGTAACACTTCATTGGCCACAAACGACAGCAAACACGGGGTAAAGATCAGTTCAGAACGGGAGCCACTTCGTCTGACGCACCGACAAATGGCCAAATCGCCAGCAGGGTCCGCGCCGAAGGCCTTCGGAACGCTCGGAACCGGTCGGATTCGCCGCGTACATCCGGGACCTTTCTACGCTCCTCGTCCGTCGTAGCCTCATCCCACTAGTTCTTTCTAGTATGCGCCGTTTTTTCCGCCGCTTGGTGGCGGGTATGTCGACGGGTCATTTCTTGTTTCCGTACTTTCTAAACTGCATTTGTTTCTTTTCTTATCTAAAATAGTGAACAAAAACTACTTTCATACATAATTGAAACGGTTCGCGACACTTATATTTGGTATCTCGACTGAAAAAAAAGCTTTTAGCGGCTTTGACCAGTGGCAAGCCAAGGACCAAAGACGTCACATTTTGCGCGCTTTCGGTACCGCGAATCGCCCTCGTCGGTGGAGGAGGTTTCCGTGTCGTCCGGTTAAAATATGACGCACTGATATTTATTTACTCTCTCCGTGCCCGCTGGCTTGCCCGAACCCCGAGAGACGTGGAAACTGCAAAAAAGGTAGACGCTTAAATATGATTGCAGGGCCCCTTTAAAGAAGGAACAACGATGGAGCACCTTGCTCACCAACTCTGTATGGCCGGGAGTAACTACTGTTCTTGTGGTCGCCCCTAGTCGGGCTCTTCTGTGCCTGCATTGATCCCCCCCTCCCCCCCCCCCCCCCCTCCAGCAGCCACATCTACGCCGTCAACGCCGCAGACGGGGCCTAGCGGCCTTGAACGGCGATCAAGGCGACAAGCTGCCGAACAACGGTGACCGTCAGACCAGAAGCAACGCCGAGAAGCAACATGGAGGCAAGGTACCCCTGATGTCAAGGTGGACCAAGGCAAGGACAACACCGAGGAGATGAAGTGTTCCGACAGTACCAACAGGGGAACCCTGCCTGGGACGCAAGGTGCGAGCGGTGTGGGAAGGTGTCCTGAAATTTAAGTTCACGGTGGCTCCCAAGAGACTCCGACCGATCTCACAACCCCGCATCGTGCCGACTAATTCACCGCGGAGAGACTCTCAGCGATGGGCTGACAGGACAGACTACTAGTAGTGTTCCAAGAAAACAGAAAGGCAGGTGATTACAATGAGACAAAGGTTTAGATAGCTTTTGGGGAACACGACCGCTCACAGACTCTGTTGGCTGCAGAGGTCGGCATTTTAGGTCGCCCTCACTCACCCTCACCCTCACAGTCACACTCACCTAAGCCCCACACTCACCCTCACCCTCACAGCTACACTCACCTTCAGCCCCTCACTCACCCTCACCCTCACAGTCACACTCACCTTCAGCCCTTCACTCACCCTCACTGAACCTCACGGCCCTCACGCACTCACCGCCCTCACGGCCCTCACGCCCCTCACGGCCCTCACGCCCCTCACGGCCCTCACGCCCCTCACGGCCCTCACGCCCCTCGCGGCCCTCACGACCCTCACGCCCCTCACTCACTCATGGCCCTCGCGCCACTCACCGCCCTCACGCCACTCACCGCCCTCACGCCACTCACCGCCCTCGCCGCCCTCACCGCCCTTGCCGCCCTCACGGCCCTTGCCGCCCTCACGGCCCTCGCCGCCCTCACGGCCCTCGCCGCCCTCACGCCACTCACGGCCCTCACGGCCCCCACCGCCCTCACGCCCCTCACGCCCCTCACGGCCCTCACACCACTTACCGCCCTCACGCAACTCACCGCCCTCACGCGCCTCACCGCCCTTGCGGCCCTCACACCCCTCACTCCCCTCACGCGCTGATGGCCCTCACGCCACTCAGGCCAGCTTCAGATGGGGAAAATTCGCCCAGAAACTTTACGTCGCAACACCAGCAACACGGGCCGCTCGCGATCACACGCAGCAACCAATTGCTGCAATTTGCCATCGTCATCATAAAATTTTATTTTTCTTGCACTATTTAGACACAATTACGCGTTATAAACGTGTTTTTATGCATTTAAATCTTGTTAAGAATACTAATGCACCTTTCTGAAACAGTTTATTTCCAAAAAAACAATCGATTTCAAACCAGAACCAAGTCTTTCGGTGTCATCATCACCGGCACGAGGTATCACGTGAAAATTTTGCGTCCCTGAATGGATGCAGCCGCTTTAAACGCATTCGAATTGCTCCGAGTTGCTTGCTTATTTCGAGCCAGACCCGATCTCAGCAATTAGTGTCGATCTAGGGAAAACTAGAGAACAAACCGCCATTAACACCAAAATTGCTGAGAAAGATGCTCGATCTGAAGGGGGCCTCACGCACTCGCGCACTCATGGCCCTCACACACCTCATGCGCTCACCGCCCTCACGGCCCTCATGGCCCTCACGCCTCTCATGCCACTCACTGCCCTCACGCACTCATGGCCCTCACACCCTTCACGCACTCACCGCCCTCACACCACTTACGCACTCATGGCCCTCACGCCACTCACCGCCCTCACGCCCCTCACGCACTCTTGGCCCTCATACCCCTCACCGCCCTCACCGCCCTCACGGCCCTCACGGCCCTCACGCCCTCACCGCCCTCACGGCCCTCACCGCCCTCACGGCCCTCACCGCCCTCACAGCCCTCACGGCCCTCACGGCCATCACGGCCCTCACCGCCCTCACCGCCCTCACGGCCCTCACGGCCCTCACGGCCCTCACCCCCCTCACGGCCCTCACCGCCCTCACAGCCCTCACGGCCCTCACTCACCCTCACACTCATGAATTTTCCTGGTTCAGAAACTCACTCACCCTCACCTCACCTGTGAAGATGAGTTTGAGTGAGGGTGAGTGAGGGCCCTCATGAGTGAGGTTTGCCGAGGTATGGTTGGCTGTCGGTCAATCGCTCAAGGCCTCCGCTACTCATCAAGTCCCGAAAACAGGAAAGGGAATGACTGTGTTCTAGAGCTTACCCAAATATATCCGAGTTAAAGGCGATTCACACGCTTGCGTTGAGTTCGACTGAGTGCGAGGGTTGCTATGAGAATAGCGGCATCGGCTTAAACAAAACGGGGTAAAAACCCTGTTGCCATAGCAACCCTCGCAGTCGGTAGGACTCAACGCAAGTGTGTCGATCACCCTTTACTCCGGCGGCTCGTGTCACGTGATAACAAAGAGCAACGCTGGACGCGGGTAGGTTTTCGAACGCAAAGGTACAAAACCCTTCCTCTGGAGTGAGATCGAGTAAACTTTGAAACGTGTGACTGTGGGTGTCCATGTGTGACCGACTTCCAGTAACGAAAAAATACGTCCTGAACTTCCAGTTTCCACAGATCGTCCTTTATTTGTGGCTTGCGTAAATTGAATATTTACTTCCAACATCCTCAAAAAGAAATGGCAAGAATAATGACAAAATATACGCAAATAAATTATAGGTGCATGAACGCAGTGAGACAGCGATGGTAACCAATCATGACTGGGCGGTTTGTTAATGTTCCTTCTTTTTAAGCACGAGAACATGTCTTTAAAATATTTGAGGAAAAAAAAAAGAAGAAACTTACTGGAGTACGATACAAGATAACTATCTCTGGTAACACCGTTTTGCTCGTGTATTTAATCGCATACCCGAAGCTTCTACACCTATCACCCGGCTTAGATCTTAGTAGTCGTGCTAAGCGACCACTGCTTCGGAAAGAAGCGATCGCCTATGTCCGTTTGCAAGAACAGCCTCAGAGTGTCCCGTCATCTTGCTGTCGGCATGTCAGATCCTCTGATAGTCGAGCTCGCCAAGCCCGTGGTCAAGCCTCGATAAGCCGTGCCCACGCTGGCCAGACTCAAAGAATACATTTTCAATCCAAGGTGGCTGGACTAACTTTTGATGCGTGGCTGCTTGCAAACGTCTAAAGGCAAGGGCTTCAAAAACGCAAGGTGTCAGTGCTGAATCCTGGGACGTCAAAAAACGGCGAAGACCCGAAGCACTATGGTCCGGGTTCTGCCGCAGTGTTATGCTTAGGTTTCCGTAGTCATGACCTTGTCTTCGATGGTGGTGATGCCCGAGGCTTCAGACCTGGTGTCTAGCTGGTCGCCTCCCGGAGGCATGCAGACCAGCGACGGGAAACGGCGCGCCAGGGCTGCCCGGTACTTGGGATGGCTGATGCCGTACACGATGGGATTGTAGCAGGCGTTGGCCTTGGCGAACACCGACCCCCAGATGGTTGCAAGCGGTGTGAGCTTGGAGCCGTCGCTGAAGATGCCGGCCCAGGCGATCGTCAAGTATGGCGTCCACGCCATGAACCAGAGGCCGACCGTCATCAGGGCAATCTGCGTGCCGGATGGACTCGTGTCTCAGGTCTGCTAACGTCCCGATTTGACCGAAATTCTGAATACCGTTATAGTCACAATAATGACGAGGTACCAGTTGCGAGTACGTCACTCTTCTACGCATCATTATGGGCAGGGTTTACGACACTCCTTCCGCATTCAGTTTTAGAATCGGGCAATGCGAAAACAAAGCCTTTTCGCAAATTACATAATTGATTTAGCCTGTAATAATTACTGCTTTTAGAACTACAATTGCAACACGAACCATGCACTATAAATAAAAAAAAAGGTTAGTTAACACATATTAGTTAGCTGACCGACTATGGCGGTCATCCCTTGTTCAATCTTTGTCGACCCTAACAAACAAACAATGAATACGGTGTCCATGTAACCATCACACCGTGCTAAAAAAATTAATATTTACAAATTATTAATAATAAGAAAAAAACATCGGACACAAACTTTTATGTTTTACGCTTCCCGTTCATTGCAAGCGTTCAAAATCAACGTACCTCCACTTCGCTTCGCCTAAAGTTCGCAGCCGACGAACGGATGGAACCAACCAGCCGGCGTCAAAAGCTGCCATCATGGAGTTCGTTATATTTGTATGCGTGTTCTGTCATCGCTGAACCAATCATAGAGAGAAAAACACGCTGAACACACTTAAGACTGCTTACGTGTAGGAATGCGAAAGCAGTATAATCCCGCGGGTGAAATGTTTTGCTCCGGCGGTGACATCACGCTTTCCCACTGCGCAGGCGCGGCGCCCCCTGCCGGCTTCACGTGACGAGTCATCTGCGTTGCTGTGCTTTGCTTTGTGTTTTATTTCTGAGGCGCGTCCGCTTTGACCTTGAGTAACGCGCGCTTGAAGACGCGTATTTTTATGGCCATCTTTCGGGCACAACGCCGACGCCGCCTTCTACCGCAATGGGATATATAAGGCTCTCGCCTTAGAAGCCTAGTGAGTTGCACTTTTTACGTTGCTTGACTGGTTACATTACCTCGTCACGTCGGCATGCGCCTGAAACGAAGCATTGAGTCGTACGGGGGGTAATCAATAAGTTTTGCTTCATAGTGTAACTTTTTATTCAGTGATGAAATGGAAAGATGCTGCATTCGAATGAAAGTTTGGAATCTCCTCTTTCCCAGGAGCACATAACTTTTCAGTATAGTCCCCACCGGTGGCGATGCACTCCTGCTACCCGTACACCACTCTTCGCGTGCCGTCGTAGATGACTGAGGTCTGCTGTTGACGACACCAACGACGCACTGCATCGGTAACCACATCGTCGTATGCAAACCGTGTGCCTTTCAGATGTTCCTTTATTTTAGAAAACAGCCAAAAGTCTCATCGTGCCAGGCCCGGGCTGCAGGCAAAACGTCTTTGAACTGCCGCTCCTCCACCCCGGTGTCGGTCTCGTCAACAGCCACCCTCAATCATCTACGACGGCATGCGGAGAGTAGTGCACCAGAGCGGTAGTGCTTTGCCGCCGTTGGGGACTATATAAAAATTTATGTGCTCCTGTAAAAGAAGAGATTCTAAACTTTCATTTGAAAGTAACATATTTCAATTCCATCGTGGAATAAAATGTTACAGCCTAGATAGCGAGACTTATTGATTCATCCCTCGCATATATATATCGAGTTATGCTTCGGGAATATTATACGATAGTGCTAGTCGTACCTTGGCAAGTCTGGCCTCGGCGCTGGTCTTCGTCTGTTCGGCGTTGGCCCTGAGCGAGGCGACGTTCATTTTGCGCGCCTGCAGCCTGAGCTGCTTCTCGTGTTGGGCGACAGCGCGCACGATCTTGGAGTAGCAGTAGATGTTGATGAAGAGCGGCGTCCAGTAGACGCCGCCCGCGTACGCGACCACGTACGACGCCGACCACAAAGCCTTGGTCAGGTAGTCGATGGTGCAGCTCGTCATGTTGCCCTCCGGGACGTACCTGCGATGTGTCCGTGCCGAAGAGTTCGGTCATCAGATGAAAAGAATAAAAAATCTAATGAGGGCGAGGAGAGCCTCACGGAACCGGCTCAAATCTATGTGTCACAATTCAGTGACCGAACACCACTACTGTAGACCTTCTAAGCCTTTAGACAGTATCTTGCGTTCGTCACACCTAACCCACTGTCCGCAACAGGGACTATCATTGGAATCTTCGCTAAAGGAGTAGTTACATGTTGAGCAATACTAATCAATGAAATGAATTAGAATCCTCATGAAACTGATTTTTTCGCAAAAAAACTAGTTCTTCAGATTTGAGGACAGCAAAAGGTGAGCGCGCGATAAAACAATCACATTACCCAAGAATTGCTAGATTTTGAAGAACGAAATTATAGCAGGGTGTCTTAAATAAACAAAAATAGCGATGATGATGATTACAATCGTGAAGACCGTGGTGCTAAAGCCAGTGGCGGAACCAAGGGGGGGGGGCGGTGGAG